TGTTGACTCATTTTTATCTGATAATAATTTAAAGTCCTAAGCTTTCATATAACAGACAGAACTAAATATCATATTTTATTTGTAAATAATAAAATTTTTAAGGAATCTCCATTTTAAAGGAATTCCAAATATTTCTTTGACATTTTAACCATTTTTAAATATTTAGGCTTTTAGAAAGTAAAGAAAATAATTTTGGTAATTCTTTATTCTTATGGCCCCCATTTTATAAACGAAGTGAAATAACTGATGAATCACCAATGGAAACTATATTCAAATGGCTGGCAGTCCTAATAATGATAATTTATAGTTTGATCATTAGTAGAAGAGCTCTGAATAAACTGCATGTTATCATATTTTCTTTCCTTTTTTCCACATTTATAGCAATTCATGATCACTGATAATTCTATGTTCACAAGAAGTGCTTTGAGTATTTTGTATTTTACTGCACTTTCTTTTTTCAGTAAAAAAAAAAAAAGAGAGAGTTATGAATACAGTCAAAAGTCGTTAATTTGGACACCCATACCGGAGTGATCTATAATCCGGACCTCAAAGCTAAAAACTTTCTGCGCATGTGCCGCGTTGACACATGCGCAAAGGCGTTTACGCGTGCACGTAAGACCTTTACTACTGCGCATATGCGTGTGCACAAGCGCAGAATACGTTTTCGTGTGCGTGTTTAATGTATAACGGACGGTATAAGCTAAAATTATCTAATTATCTATTTTCAATTAATGTTGATGATTGCGTTGTTCCTTAATCTTTGAATTGGATGCGCTTATTATTTTTTGCAGACTGTAAGAACAATTTTATAAAAGTAAACTTGAACTTTCGATTATGTCAAATAGAATTTCCGATACTGGAGCTCCCAAAAGTATGTTTCGATGTCCGTCAAACAAAAAGTGGAATTGCTGCAAAAAATGGATAAAGACATGAAGAAGGTGACAGAGAGGTTAGTGAAAACGAAAAAATTTCAATTGACAAGTTTGTCAATATTCTCAGCACAGCAATTACGGGACTTGAACAGTGGAACTTTGTAACTGAACAAGAAATTATGTCTGTTTATAGAATTAAAGAGAAAGTATTATCACATAAAACGAAGCAACTTAAACAACTTACATTGAAAGAAATGTTTAATAAAGTAAACAAAAATATATTAAGCTTTTTTTTGTAAATTTGATACCCTTTATATCATAATTGTTCTTTATTTCATAAATTACGGTTTCATATTTTTAATTTTAGAATTTCTGCATACTATCTACGAGATTTAAACTGATGATCTATAATCCGGATTTAAACTGATGATATAAATCGATAATCCGGAATCGCCGAAGTCCCGACGAGTCCGGATTAACGACTTTTGACTGTACTTGATTTACTAAGATGTGGAGGAGGTCTATATCTTTCTTCCAAGAAAGAACATTTTGCATTCGAATTTTCAGAAATAGTCATTAATAAAACTAGATATCAATGAAAACATTGGAGGTGCAGTGTGAAAAGTGGTCAAGTGAAAGAAAAGTACATGTTTTGACAGCTGGTACAGTGGTTTCAGAATACTGTTTGTAACAGTGCAGCGATTTATTTTGCTGTTAGAAAAAGGAACTGCCATCAATTAAATGGTGCAAGAAGGAACTTAGTCCTTACAAAAATACAATTATTGACTGAAACATTCATCAGAGATGTGTATTCTTTACATCTAATCCGACAGCCAAATAAGCATATAAGAGTCCTTGAAAAAATTGTGGATATAAACAGCAGCCTGTTTATACAAGGAAAGAACAAAGCCAGTAGTGTTCTTAGCACAGCACTTGTTATTTGGCAGGTTATGTCAAAAAGTTGAATAATTTTCCCCTTACTCAGATTTTGAATTGAAGGCAACTACCGTTATGACAGAAATTATCAACTATCTGCAAGAGGGATCAAAGTTTTAATATGACTGTTGGCTAGCATAGAAAACAAAGGAAATAGAAAAAGTGGATTAGAAATCTTTTTATACAACTTTCTTGTGTGATCTCTTTTACCTCTAAACATTATGTATATCAGCAGTTAGTTGCTTGTAAATAAAATACTGAAATGCTGTGGTGCTCTGCTAAGAGTCGGAATAAAAATCGACAAGGCACAGCTCATGATTGTCTGGAATTTTACCTTGCAGAGTTCATGTGGTTAAAGGTCCTTGGGATGAGAAATTGCTTTTGAAGCTATATTAAAAGCAGTTGGGAAAACATAGGAGCCATAAAGTGTACATGAAAAGTAAGCAAGAACTTGGATATAATCCAGTTGCCAGCTGTGCCAAAAAACAGGTACAGTGTTTTGGCATCCTGGTGTCAAAAAACAGGGCGTGCAATAATAAAGAAGTACCATAATTTTACCTCAAAATAATAATACAGGGTTCGTAGCGGTCCTTACAAGTGCTTATAAGTCCTTATATTTGAAAATAAGATATAAAAGCCCTTATAGGTGCTTACTTTTTCTCTAAAGCACTTGTTTTTTGTTTTTAGTGCTTATTTTTTGCTTTGAGTGCTTTTTTTTTTTTTAACGAATGCACATTTTTCCCCCGTACCAAAGCTGAAACTAAATAAACAACTTATCTTCCTTATATGGAACATCAGATGGTGAATCATACTCCCTGAAATAGCTTTTCGCTCCTTTCTTTGCATTAACATAACCTTTGGCAAAGAACGTCTATGTATTCAACAATGTCTATGTATGAACAATATAGATTGATTTTGTACATAAACACGTTTCTCTCTCGTGTTGTTTTTTATGCGTTCCTGCCTTAACCCATCACTTTTAGGCCCTACATTCCTATAGAATAATGCATGTTTTAGTACGCTCCACCACCCCTCCAAGTTTGTCCCATGATCCGTGAAACACAATGTATATTCTTTGCCTTTGGTGCACGCGAGTATAGACAGGTGCATGTCGTTCTATTGGTCAAAGAATTGCGAAAGCTGTAGGAAATTCCGATGCATTCCATATTCTTTTGCTCTCACCCAATACTACACACGTTTGAATTTCTATCAAGATTTTAATAATTTACATTCTCGTTCTGCGTGGTCAGTTCATATTCACGTTTTTTATGATCAGCTTATATTATGAGCACATGTATGAATATTTATAATATATTTGCAGTAACTGAAGTGTAGATAAACTTCAAAAATGGGTGTGTTTTAACACAGATTAGTTTCCTAAGGAATAATATTCGGAATGGCATAAATAAAGTAATCGAATAGTCTTTTTTAAATTTATTATTATTATTTTTTTGGCCAATGCATCATACTGTACGGAAGTTGGAGGTTCTTCCCTTTCTCCACAAAATCTCGAACATTGAAAGAATTACAGCTCACAGCAAAGCAAGCAATGGACTTTTTTGGGGGGTGTCACTTTCTATCTGGATTGAATAGGACTAAAAGTTCTGCGGTCTACCAACCCAAGCGAAGAATGATTCTATTCCGGAAATTTAACGCAGTCTGTTCAAAATTAGAATGAAAAACATCCCAGATTGGTAAATCTCTTTATTAATCAATACCACTATGGCAGGGATATAGCGCAACGTGTCCTGCTCAATGATAAATATGCCACATGGGCACCTGACGGTGAAAACCGGACGAAGCAAAGGGACATTTTCCTTTATTTAAATTATTTATTCTCTGAATACCGACACCTGTTGATTCCGATTGCGTAATATCATGTGAGGAAGAATTAAGGCGCACGCATTGCACATTAACGTTTGCGATATTTCCCAGAGATAAAAGAGTTTTACTGTGCTTGCTAAGCAGATTATTTTTCAGTTCCATTGGCCTATTTTTTATATGATGCACATATCGGAATGTCAAAAGCATTATTTAGCTGCAAAATCTAAAGAATGGTTATAATCTATCCCCCTTCCACTTTAACCACTTACACTCCGCTATCCGGAATTTCAGATATTTGGCAATTTCTGAGTATGCCAGTTAGTTAAGCTTTTACTGTTAAAGGATGACTGCATGAAGCAATTTGCCGTCTTCTGATTTCGTATAATAAATATGGGTTATTATTATTTATTTTTTCTATTTTGAACTGAAATTTCATCATTAAATCTTGTAATATAATTTAGTTCTGCATAGTTTTTTTCTGTCATTGTAAACTAGTTCTGTAAATTGAACTATTACTACTTAAAATTAAAAAAAAAAAAAAAAAAAAAAAAAAAAAAAAAAAAAAAAGAATGTAATTGTTTTCCATGGATGAATAATGCTCATTCTCTCTTAATATATACTGAATTTCTCATATTTTAAATTACAAGTCTAATTTTTCCTTTAAGGTTATGCAGTATGATGTAATTAGACAGGTGCTTATTTTTTTTCTTAAAATGTGCTTGAAAAGTGCTTATAGGTGCTTATTTTTTTAACTAAAATGTGGCTACGAACTCTGTAATAATGATAATTATATTGTGAAAGGAAGAAAAGGAAACAGATTAATAAATGTAGTATAAATAAAGTGTTGAATTGTTAAATAGATTAAAAGTATGTAACATCTGCTCCATTGAAGAAGGAAAGAAGAACCAAGTTAGTATGAATTGAAAGTTTGTCAGGCAAAATTATTTTTTGGCACAATGTTGAATATTAGCATATTACTTTAAATGTGAATATCTGCAAAACTAATTGTATAATTTTCATGAAACTAGGCATTTGGTATGATTTGAGCAGAGAATCAATATACAGGGATAAATTGCATGTGATCTTAAGAGTCTAATTTTGTGTTAAAAGTTTTGCAATAACACATTAATGTATTTTTATCTGATACATATCCTACTCACCTCATCAAGACATGAGAAGTATAATTGGAATTTTGCTGATTAACCAATTAGAACCAGAGCTATAAAATTGCCTTCTCCTTTTTAAAATCCATTAGTGTTAAAATGTTTATTTTTTGAAAATATTTTTAAGCCAGCAGTGTCATTTTTTTTTTAGTTTTATAATGTTTGTACTGAATTAAAATATGCTTAGAAATTTATTTCATTTCAGAATTCAATCTCATCTAATGATTTGGCTGATCTTTTGATGCTTTTTAAAACTGATGTAGTTCTTCATTCCAGACCACGGAATAAGCTCCTTATGAAATTGAAGGAAATGTTTTCTTCTGAAGCATACAAATTGACTTTAAATGAAGCATATAAATACTGTGCAGAGTGCATTCAAAGAATTGATGCAAGTTGCAATAATGCAGATGCAGGTGATTACATTACTTCAAAAAAAAGTTTGGAATTAGTATGAATTACTTTAAACAAAGCATATGAAAATTTTATTTGGCTTAATTTTAATAAAATAAAATTAAATTAAATTTTTATAACAATGTACATGTTTTTGAGTGTATAAATATAACTATTTCGCATATTCATGTAAAATATTTAATAATTGTTTTAAAGTAATGCAATACTTTAAATATTTAAATAGTAGCTGAATTGTGAAAAAAATAATCCTTTCATTTCATAGTAGGTGATATAAAAATATCGTTTGGAATAAAAGTCTTCATAATCTTGAAGAAGTATTGAGTTCATTTCATATATAATGTCTTGAGGAGTTCATCTGTGTTTATTTTTGTTTTATTTGCGTAATTTTCCCATTGAGACATATTGAAGAAAATAATAGTATCACTTTGAATTCATACCTAAGTTGCACCTACACTTAAATCACAATTGATGCCATTTGTTAAATAAATATGAAATTTTCTAGTGAATTCAGTTAGTTTTTGTGTTGATTAAATCTGTAGGTTATTGATTAGGTATGGTGATGAAGTTCTATCTCTGATGACTAATTAGTGGCATGTAGGTTGCATGTGGACTTATTGTGAGAGATTATTTAGAGATTTATTTTAGAGGTCCTTTATTGTGGCCTACAATATGATTATCAAAATTTAGTGTTATTTTTAACCACTAATTTCTTTATATTTTTCTCTTTTCTGATAACATGCACTGCAACCGTGCACAGTTATATGTAGAGATTTTCTGATAGCACATAGTGTTCTTGTTGCTCAAACATATGATTCAGTACTGTTCTGCCTATGAAACTACACACAAGGATAAGTTCCAACATTTTTTAAGTAAGCACTGTTATTATTACAGGATGTATTCCAACATATATCCAAATAAAAATTACTGTGCAGTCTGCAATGCCAGCAGGTATTTTAAATTAGCGTACCCATTTACAGAAATTGGCTGTCTTTGTTTCGTTTATAAAAACATTTCTGCTTCTCATTTTATCTTAAAATTCTTCCAAAACATATTTTTTTATATTTCATATTTTATGACTAATTGAGGATTTTTAACACTTAATGTCCTACATGATGCAAGCATAAGATTATAAAATTTTTCAGAGCCACACATATGATCACATTGTACAGGATGGTTGTTACAACTCGAATGTGAAATGGGCAAAAGCTCTGCTTCTGCCACTGGCAACAGAGGGAGTAAAAAAAAACTTGGAAGAGAGTGGTCACTTACTCAGCTTCTCTTAATAAAATTTTGGTTTGAATGGGGAATTATTCTTATCTATTGATTTAAAACTAATCTTGAACCATGTAAATAATGTAATATAGTAGGTGTGCGTAAATAAGTAGTCATAGAGATTTGTTTTGAATTATGATTTGAGTTTGAATTGGAGTATGAAATCGAAAGCTCTCCCAAAACAAAAATTGTCGACATCTTAAATTTGTGGGTTAGAACAGTAGTCTTAAAAAAACTTTCCTGATATATGAACCCTTAGTAGCTTATCTGCTCAACCAACTGAAATGAAATTTCAGATATTGTTATTTGAAAGCATGCTCTCAAGTTTATGATAATTGAAAACAACAGAGCTCTCATGATTATGATTACACTGATAAAATGTTGAAGTTTTTGAATGGCAACTTTCACTTTTTTTTTTTTTTTTTTTTTGCAAATTGATCAGTGCAATGAAAAAACATAAATGGTGTTAGAACGATGCATGTATGATGAAAATTGTCGGTGTAAAACATTTGTAGAGAAAATGACCATTCACAAATGCAGAGAGGCGGTGCATTGATGTACTTCACATAATCCACAGGCATAGATAATAGAAGCATCAATCACAGAATACCATGTGCCAAGCATTGTGTGCAGAAACACTAATAAGCAGTGTGGGAGATTATTTCTCGATCAGGTGTTCAAATGTGCGAACAGCTGCATTAAAACAGCACGGTGAACTAATAAAGCTGCTTTATCTGAATGGAGAAAGTGCTGTTGAAGCAGCACTAGTTTATTGGTGAAATCATAAGCTAAGACAAGGCCCATGTTTTATAAAAACTCTGCATGGTTTGGTAAACAAATTTGAAGAAACTGGATGTACATATGATAGACCACAATATGGACAACCATGTGTTCTTATTGAAGCTGTTACGGAAGTGTATATTACACTTACTGGAGGTTCATTGCCTACTGCAATAAGTGTTTCAAGCCGTTGGATGTACCAGATGCCACAGTCCTCATGTTGTAACCTGGAGATGAGCAACAGTGTGTTGATGCAAATTTTTTCCTTATAAGCTGTGATAAAGATAACAGGTGGCCGCTGCAGATATTGTGGGGAGATGAGGTGCATTTCTCCCTAACTGGGCATGTTAACTCCAAGAGCTGTATTCACTGGATTCTCATGATGTGACACCAACACCGTTACATAAAGCTAAAGTGACAGTGTGTTACAGCATCACAAGCACATTCGTCTTGGTCCAGAACTCTTCGAAGAGGTCATTTCCACAGGTATGAAAATGTGCTCCATCAACAAGTGCTCAGTATACAACAGAGGTACAAAGTTATGTAAATCCAGAGCTGCAGCAGTGATGTTGTTAACCCTTTAACTGTCAAGTTATTTTGATGATTTGGGTACACAAATTGTCAAATTTTTTTATTGCAAAAATCAAATGTTTAGTACAAAATAAAATATTCTTAAGTAGTTAAAAATTGATATTTTGAAGTACATGGGTAAAATTTTTAAAGTTTTGTAGCCACTGCATATTTGCTTGAGGCGGCTGCCACTCAACATGGCAGTTGTAAAGTTCGCTTCTAGTGGAGCATTATTTTCTAAAAATGAAAAAAATTTATTATTTTCTAAAAAAGAAATAAATGTAAGTGAATACCTATTAGTAGTTCAGTAATTCAGTCTTGTGTGGTACAACTGGAAACACTTTTCCAAGCACAAACCAACTCCACAATCACTACACCAGAATCGTGATTCCTTCCTTATCTTTTCCTCATTTTAAACCTTTTTTGAACAACATACTTTGCACTGTCTTGTAGGCGCACGTTTCGCAGGAGTAGTAGGAGTATGGGATATGAAATGTCGTTCAGTAAGACGGGCAGGGTTATCTATTGTAAGTGGTCTGCCAACATTCTTTTGTCCAGAAGCTGCATCATCATATTTATGTAAAAGCTCTTCTACAACTTGGATTCGAAATTCTAGAAATGTAATATGTTTCCCAACTACATTTTTATAGAGCAAATATGAGTTCCAAAGTACCTTGTCTAGTAAATGTAAAAATATCTTTTTATAATATTTTTTCTGACGTTTAATGGATTGTTGGGATGAAAGGATATTTTCCTAATCACAGCGATCTACACCACCCATAGTTAGACTGCAATTAGAAACAATCTTCGCCTTGAGTATATCTCCATTTTTTTATTTTTGAGGCTGACCATGGAAGTATCATGAATACTGCTCATCAAACACACATCCTTCATCCTTCGGTTGAAGAATCTAAATCATCTATATAACGTTTCAAAGAACTGGATGCCATTTTACAACAAAAAGATCCCATGCACTTTGAACCAAAGAACTTATAACCTCTAACCTTTGAAATCTTCAGTAAAGTGCTGTCATCTATTGAACTGAGCGCACATTAACTTTTCCCAAGATACAGTCGGTTTTGACAAAGAGATGAAGCCGAAATAAACGTCTCCCGATATATATTCGGGTATAACAATACGATGCACTCAAAAAAAGAAAAATTACCCCGAGTAATACTCGGGCGTGACATTTTCGAACACCAGTGCTGTGCCCGAGATTATCTCGGGCATGACAGTTAAAAGGTTAATGACATTGTATGGAGACAAGACAATGTACCTCCGTACATTACCACTTGTGTTCGGCAAGTGCTGTAACAGCACTTTCAAGATAGAGTCATCTCTGATAACTTTGCAGCCACCACGATTGCCTGACCTTACTTTGATGGATTTTTGGTTTTGGGGTTATCTGAAATCTAAAGTGTAATCATCAAATTCAGAGTTTTGTCAGAATTCAAAGATGCCATAAAACAGGATGTTATACATATTCTTCCTGCAATCTTACATTCGTTGTTGTTGTCAACACTCTTAGGCATGTAATGTGTTATCGTCTGTGAAGATAGACATGATGAAAACCTAGGAGTTTTTTTCATATCCTCCTAGGTTGTCATTGATTCTTTCCTTTGCAAATGCTTTATGCCAGCAATTTTCATCAAATGTGTGTTATTCCAACTCCATGTATGATTTTTCAATACACTGATCAATTTGCGTAGGAAAAAAGTGGGTATTGCCATTCAAAAATTTAAAAATTTTTCATTGTTACTATAACCATGAGTGCACTGTTATATATATATATAAATTCAATAACAGCCTCTCCTTGAAAAGCAGCTGAAAGTGATTAGTAAATTGAGTGTGATATGAAATATAAAAATTTTCTTAATGTGCATATTTTGTATGCATATTATTTATTGATATATGTATGTGTTATCAGAATGCTGTAGCAGTAAAATAGTAACAAAGAAATGGGGGGAATAAAACCTAAGCTGTATTGAAATAAAAGTCAGTAATAAGAAAAAATATTAAAAAATTAGCTAAAATTGCTATTGTTTACAGATTAAGAATTTTTTTGGCTTTTTCCATCTAAAAAAAAAAAAAAAAAAAAAAAAAAAAAAGTTATTGGTCATACATTTAATTGAAAATTTTCTAACAAAATTTAAGGTCTCTTAATTGTCATTACAGAACGCAATAAATGTAAATGCAATAATCAATTCTAAGTTTAAATGGGCAGATCTTAGAAACATCATATAATTTAATATTTCAGTTTACTATCTATTGATTATGATGATTATTATTTTAGCATTTCAATATCATTCATTATTTACAATTTTTTGCAGGTTTTGAAATTACTTGCTTTTCTGAGATGAAGAAAACTGTCAGAATATTTGTCTTGTTTCTTGAAGCATTTCTTATCTCATCACACAGAAATAAAGAAACATGCTCAAACTGGTATTCACTTTTTAAACCTATTGTGTGTACTTTATCCAGTGCTCATAATAGACCATATATGTCTATGAAAAGGTTCTTAACTGCATTGCAGTTTATAATTGTTTTATACCAAGAAGCTGAAGGATGTTTAACAGATGAAAAGAGTAACATATATGCTAATATTCTTGTTGAAAACAAAACAGAGTTTGTTGAATTTATGTATCAAAAAATATTTATGAATTTAAAAAATGATATTGATATAGCTCAGAGCAATATATTTTTTGATGCCTTGCATTTATTATCTTCTTTAAAAGCATACAAATGTGCATTTTATAATAATTTACCTATTTTGCTAAAAAAATGTGAATTTCTTATAGAAGATTCTTCTTTGAAAAAATCTCAACTTCTTGCCTCATGTAGAATTTTGAATTTTTTATTCTGCCATCTTCCTGATACTGAGCAACTAATGGAATCAAGACTAGATTATCATTTATTGTTGAATATTATGCAAGAGAATATTTTGCAGTTTAATTTAGCCAAACCAGAATTTGTAAAAAATGTTGAGAAAAATGAATGGCTAGAATTCACAACTAAATCAGTATGTGATTTTTGGAATGTTGCAATACTTATAATCAAATATTCTTCGGAAGATAAAGTGGAAAATTTATTCAATGTGTTAGCAGATAATGCTCGAAACACATATGAACAAGGTCCAATCGTAGCTCTTTTGCCCACTTTAAAATGTATGAAAGTTCTTATTTCAAAATTCGATAGATGCAGTTCTCATTCAATATCTGATTTGTTAGACACATCTTGGAAAGCATGTATAGAATTAAGAGGAAATGAAATATTTCGTCCTGCTTTAAAATGTTTTATTGAAATTATTTTTCAACCTGAAATGTTATATTTTCATGATGTTTTACATGAATATATTGAAAAGCTACAAAAACTGGAGGAAAATACTGTTGGTGTTTTTTACTACCTCATAAAACACTTTTGTAATGTTTTTAAGCTGAAGACTCTGATTAATTCAAAATTCAATAGCATACCTTTGCTTGTGCAAGCATTAACATATGGACCCATTCATCATAAAGGCCAAAGAGTAATGGAAGAAACAATAGCTTATATCATTAACTTAGATAATGATCTTGCTACTAGTATATCAGATGTTAGCGAGCCATCTTTCTGTGTAAGAATTATAGCTATTGATTTTCTGATGAAAAACTTATATTATGAATTGGGATGTGATGCTGAAGAAAAAGAAAATTTTGTTTTGAATTTAATTAATTCTTTAATTGATACAGACATTAGTGTCAATTATACACGTAGTTCTCGGTTTGTTAATTCATATAGCCACAGACTGAGAAATAGAATATGGCAAGTAATTTTAATTTTACAAAAGAGTGTTCATAATATAAAAAATGTTGAAAAGCTTCTGTTGAGAGTTCAGATTTCTTTAGAATCTGATAATCAACAGCCTTCGGTTCGTTACTTTCAAGAATGGATTATTTTCAGCTTCTTGTATTCTTTTAATTGTTTACTCAGTAATTTTATTTCAATAATAGAACAGTCAACAGAAAAAAGACCTGGCATGATTATTTCCTTGCTTTCTGTGTTAGTGCTTTTGATTTTGCATAATGTACTAAAATCAAAATGTGACATTCTTCAATGTTTCCCTATAATAATAAATTTTTGCATGGCCCAAAATTTTACTGTAAGACTGTATGCACAATTAGCATTAAATAAATTATTTTCATTGTGCCAGAAAGAAAATTATACAGATATTATTCTAAAATATGATTTTATTCATAATATAATAGAATCACAAAATTTGATTAATGGAGTTGGTAATTTTTACAAGAATATACAAAAACTGTCTGATGACTTTTATTTTTCATCATTTCATCCCATAGAGCACTTAAGCTTTCAGACAATTTTCTTTCATATACCACGCCTTTCAAATATAGCTCCTGATGAATGGATTAAACCATCAATGATGGAAAAATATGTATATTCTGATCTAAATTATCCTATATCCTTATATAATTGTGATGAAAAACTGAACAATAGCATTACAACTTCTTGGTCTTCTAAATCAAACTGTGAAATGCCAATTGATTGTTATGATTCAGTGGATTATAATTTTCAGAAAAAAGTTTGTCCTTGGCAGGATACTTTAAGCAGTGAGAATAGTGATGATCTATTTGGTGAAAGAAAACAAAAAACAAGTGGTGATTTAATAGTTGTAGCATCCCTTATTGATAGAATTCCAAATTTAGGTGGGTTATGTCGCACTTGTGAAGTCTTTGGTGTTTTTGAATTTGTGATAGGATGCCTCAAATATACAGAAGATAAGCAATTCCAAAATCTTGCTGTTTCATCTGACAAATGGGTTTCAATTAAGGAAGTTAAGCCTTATCACTTAAAGGAATATTTAATCTCTCTCAAAGAAAAAGGTTACTCTTTAATTGGAGCAGAACAGGCTGATGATAGTCATAAACTTACTAACTATAAATTTCCCAGAAAGTCTGTTTTGCTATTAGGCCATGAAAAGGAAGGACTGCCAGTTGATTTTATTCAATTACTTGATGACTGTGTTGAAATACCACAGCAAGGAATAACGAGATCATTAAATGTTCATGTGAGTGGTGCAATACTTATTTGGGAGTACTCTCGACAACATCTTTATAGTTCATGAGTCAAGGTATTAAAAGTACTTTTGTAATAAGAATCTCTTTCATGATTTTTATAAGATATTAAAAAAGCTTTTGTAGTAAAAATTGCATTAGTTTGTTCTGTTATCTTTTATTATATGCTGATAAGATTATGTAATTTTTATTATATTGATGTACATTTTATATTGTTATTACATGAAAAAGCTGTCACAAATACCAGTGGTCGCCAAACTCATGAAGCTTCTGAGCTACTGTTCCATTTTTATAAATCCTTTTGTGAGCTACCGACCAAAACAACTACCAACGTTTTAAGAAAAATCTTAAATTTTTTTTATTGCCTATAAACTTACATTTCTAGTAAATATGAAATCAATTTTAATTAAACTTATGTAACAAAAAGAAACTGAAATTGAACTGTACATAAGAAAGAAACTGAAGTATAGTTAGTAATAATTAAGAAATGCAATAACAGATTTTTTTAAATCAGATTTATTAATTATAATGAGAAGGATGGAGCCCTTATTTTGTCATCAACAAGATGTTTAATGTTGGGATGTGATGCTGAAGAAAAAGAAAATTTTGTTTTGAATTTAATTAATTCTTTAATTGATACAGACATTAGTGTCCATTATACCCGTAGTTTCCGGTTTGTTAATTCATATAGTCACAGACTGAGAAATAGAATATGGCAAGTAATTTTAATTTTACTAAAGAGTGTTCATAACATAAAAAATGTTGAAAAGCTTTTGTTGAGAGTTCAGACTTCTTTAGAATCTGATAATCAAATAGTAGTAAAGTAGGAAATGGCTGCCTTTCGAATGCAATTGTCTGTTCTTCAGGTGAGTCTGTTTCTATACTCATTTTTAATTAATTTCATACTAGAAAAAGAAATCTTACCCAGATATGTAGAGCTGAAACTTTGCCTTCACTTTGAGACAAACCTGAACTATAATTGGTGTTTTTTTTCCCCCCGGAATAAGAGCCCAAATATTTTCAAAGCTTGAAGAAAGTGATTTTACAGATAAATCATTTCGAAAATCAGTAAGTTTCATCTCCACTGCAGCATTGTCTTCTTAAAAATCAAGGCATGAAGCACCTCTTGAAAACACTGTAAAACCCTGTCTCTACTCAAACAGCAGACTTCTGTATGAAACACTATATCACCATATTGGCAATCTAGTAGCATCAATCAATACTCTGAACAAACATCTCTGAATTGCATGTACTCTAATTTTGTTCACTATTTTTATGACTGTTTCATTGCATTTTTCATACTTAAAAACTTTCTGCACAGTGACTCGCAGTGTATTTATTACACAATGGTAAGACAGAAATTTTGGAAAGCTGTTGTCTTTATGACAGAAAGTTATGAATCCCTTCTCTCTGCCTACCAGGTGCAAAAGCTCCATCAGTTGCTAAGCTCACCAACTTATTTATAGGAATATTTTTAGAGTTGACAAGATCTTTAACTGTTAAAAATGTGCCCTGTCCTCTAATGCATCCTGTTAATGGTATATCCAAGTTAGTAAATGTCTAACACACGAAAAAGATAATGTGTACAACCTCATGCATATACAGTCATTTATGAGAAGGCTGACAATGGCAGTTGCACAGGAGAAACAATCAGCTGTTTTGCCAGCACCTCCTATCTTCAGCATCAGCTCAGTGGAGGAATCAAGGTTAAGCAACCGGAGCGCTAACTTGATCTGCCGAAAATATTCTCACGAGTAGCTCGCAATTGACGGTTTGGCGATCACTGACAAATACTAAAGATTAAATTTGTGTTTAAAATTAAGACATAAATCTGTTAAGACTTTTTTTGAAATTTCACTAGCTGAATCATGTGTAGTATTGTTACACAATAGCGTCAGAAATACTTTTATACTTTATCATATGATTTTTTTTATAACATTTATGGTAGAAAATTAAAAGTCCTTAGTTGAAGGGCACTTACTTTTGAAATGCAAAGAGAGCTGTTTGTTTATATTTTGTAAAAGATAACTTTATTATTCTGTAAAATAACAGAGAATATAAAAATTGGGCAGTTAAAAGTGCTCTCTGTTATATAATTGTTACCAGCTTCTCTTTTATTTCAAAATTATCAAAAATAATTTTTGCAAAAATGGCCGACTGAGTTGTATCAACTATATCAGTTGATTCGTCAAGTTTCAGGGAGAAATAGCTACAGCATTCAACGTCAGTTTTAAGTTGTGAGGTAACGTCAGAACGCATAACTTCAACCCTTCTCATTATTGTATTTGCAGAAAACTGTACAGATTTAATAGCAGACATTATCTCAGTTTTATTTTTGAAACTATCAAATAATGCATATGCAGCTTTTAAAAATGCAATTTTGATTATTTCTCCATCTTCGTATGGTTTCTTATTCTATGCATTAATACTTGAAACTTGGAATGACACCTCCGTTGCTGCTTTATTCTTGCTTAATGGTTTTAAAAAAGTTGATTGTTGAGCATTAAGTTTAGGTTGTAGCTGCCTTATTTTTTCTTTCCTTAGAGAAGAATTTAGTAGAAAATTCTTTTCAATTCCTGCATGAATGGTTTTGAAGTGATGGTCAGCGTTCCATTTCTTCCCGACTGATACACTTGCACAGCACAGTACAGTAAACACACACATTTGCCCTTCACCTGGATCGGTTTAAAGAAGTAATCGGTTTCTCATTCTGAATGAAAGTGATAAGTTTTTTACTTGAACACGCCATCATTACAACAGACCTAGCTTACTAATAATGTGTAAATCGAAGTATCCAAGTTAGCAAATGTCTAACACATGAAAAAGATAATGTGCACAACCTCATGCATATACAGTCGTTTACGAGAAGGCTGACGATGGCAGTTGCACAGGAGAAACAATCAGCTGTTTTGCCAGCACCCCCTATCTTCAGCATCAGCTCAGTGGAGGAATCAAGGTTAACCAACCGGAGCGCTAACGCGATCTGCCGAAAATATTCTGACGAGTAGCTCGCAATTGACGGTTTGGCGATCACTGACAAATACTAAAGATTAAATTTGTGTTTAAAATTAAGACATAAATCTGTTAAGACTATTTTTGATATTTCACTAGCTGAATCATGTGTAGTATTGCTACACAATAGCTTCAGAGATACTTTTATACTTTATCATATGATTTTTTTATAACATTCATGGTAGAAAATTAAAAGTCCTTAGTTGAAGGGCACTTTAGTTCCTTTTGAAATGCAAAGAGAGCAGCTGTTTGTTTATATTTTGTAAAAGATAACTTTGTTATTCTGTAAAATAACGGAGTATATAAAAATTGGGCAGTTGAAAGTGCTCTCTGTTTATATCTCTAAAAAGATTTACACCAAACTTTGTGTGGTTACTCTACAGTAAATTAAAAATACGTGGATAACTGGTTATATTTTGGTATGAAATAAAATTATAAACAAAAGGGAACATTATTTCTAAATGAATATCTCTAACCTGGATTTAACTGTAGTTGTAAAATTAAATTAAGAACAAATAATGCATGGTACTAATATAAAATTTAATTTATTATTTCTAATATTTAATTCAATGGACTTTTTTGTCCACAACTTTCACCTAAAAACATGAGATCTTTTATTTTATTGCTTCCTTCCAGAATATAAATTACTGTTATTCCTTTTATATTAACATTTTGTAGATATGCATCATAGCAAAACTGTGTAGCTATATATATATATAAAACCTGCTTTTTGCATGTTGAAATATTTGAAGTCACCTGAAATTTGAATTATCTATCACTTGGTATAACTATCTGTATGAAATAATGATTGAGCAGAATGGTAAGAAGCTTCATTGTAAAGATTTTCTGGTTAACATCTAATTTACATTATTTGTAGTATGCATTTCCTGTCACTGTTAATCAAAAAGTAGTATCCTTACCAAAATGCAAGATATGCAAACTTTATATTAGACTTTTTATAGTACTGTCATATATCATTATGGTAAAACACATTAGAGCTAAATTGAAGACTTTTTTTTTGGGGGGGGGAGGCTCCTGAAGAATAGGGATCTATGTCAGATTACCCTCAGAACTGATAGTTTTATTCAAGATCATTGCTAATCTAAGTTTGCTTTAACTCCTCTTCCCATCATTTTATATGTTGGGATTATCTGTGTAAGGAAGATGGATGCTTTTCTGGCAGGCTTTCTTAAAAACATCCATATTTACATTATATATGTTGAAAACCTATGCAGCTGACTTATTTAATTATCAGGAACTGAAGGTAGGGAAGACTGTGTTTTGTAATTTAACCATTTAATTTGTTAACCTTGGTTTCCCAAATGACTATTAAGGCATATAGAGAAAAATAAGTAATTACATTATCAATACTCTGCTGGCCATTAAAATTGCAACACAATGAAGGAAAGCAAATCGAAAAAAAGATATTTATTGTATATAAACAATATGGCATGAAGACAAATTGATTAAATTTGTAAGCAATTTGAGCATTTACAGGGGGGCAAAATTAATAGAAACTGTTCCCACCCCTGGCAGCTAAAACGGCCCTTACCCAGTGAGACATGGAAACGAACTGAGCTTGGATGACAGAAATGGGCAACTCATTCCATGCTGCTTCAAGTCTGTGACACATTTCATCAATTATATTGCAGCATTCGTATCGAGGAAGGTCAGAACATGACATGCAACATGTGGTCTTGCATTATCTTGTTGGAAGATGGTGTTTGGCTGGCCTCGAAGATAGGATACGACCATTGGATATAAGACATCAGAAATGTTCAAATTACCATCAATGTGAACCAGATATGTGCATGTTGTGTACCCAAAGGCATCACACCAGGTGGAGGGCCCGTATGCTGATATCGAATGCAAGCAGGTGACATGCGGTCTTCTCGGAACATCCAGATATGTAGATGGCTATCAGAATACTGCTGCACGCAGAGACAAGACTTGTCTAAAAGATGACGTGCCATTTCTGTATACAGCTTTGTCTTTCGGCACACCAGAGTTGCTGTCTCTCTCTATGCTACATTATCAAGGAAAGCCGAAGTAATGGTCGCCATGCTGATCATCCATGCTGCTGCAAATGTTGACGCACTGTACAAGCGGATATTAGGCGTGCTGCAAACATGCCCATTTCCTGACTAATGTTCCGTGATGTGGTTGTACAGTTTTGCAGGGTTGACCTCACAATATGTCTGTCCTCTCGGGCATTAGTCATGGAAGGGCATTGAGATTCTGCATGCAATTCAGCAACCCATTCATTCCATATTCTCATGACAGTGGTTGGATGTTGACCAGTGCGATGGGCGATATTACGGAATGATAATTCACACTCTAGATAGGCAACGATCCCACCTCTATTAAATTCTGACATTCTGGTAAGCATTTCTTCTTGTTATTCGAAGCATAATATGATATTCTGAGCAAACCCCGACCTTACAAAGTGCTTCTCAAATGAGAAATCAGCTACACAACTTTTCTTTTTTGCAGTGCTTCAGATGTCATTTCTCCCTCCTGCATCGTCTAAATGTGCTGAAATACTAATCATTTGCATATCCAACCCCTTCTTTCCTTCATGTGATTTTGATGTTCGTCAGATTATTCTTTTCTGGTGTTGCAATTTTAATGGCCAGCAGTGTATAATCTAGGATGCTTCAGTTTTGGAGCTTATTACTTTAGTTGTATGATGCTGATAATTTTATGTGAAGTAATATTTTTTTGTGGAAGACATTTCTTCCAAAGCCTTTTTATGTATGCAAAAACTTGAATTTGATAAAATTTAATGATCTGAAGATCTTGAGAGGCTGATAATAGGAAAAAGAGGACCGACAGATTTCATCCCATAACATACTTTTTATACAACTTTGGATTCAGCTTAGACATGTAGCCTTTATGCTCTTTATAATAACTAACGAACCTAATTTTATGTCTTAAGTATTCTGAATAGTTAACAAGATTGCTACATGTGGGATATTTTTTAAGTGAGGACCATTCAGCAGTATCTTCGTAAAGCGTGCATGTTCATATTTTTGCTCATGCATAGTTTCTCCTGGAATGCCTTGCACACAGACAAGTGTTATATTGTATCATATTGATAAAGCATGCATTCCATGTTATATGATAGAAATATTTAAGCTATCCAATGCTAGTAAAATACTAAAGGTATTAGTAAATATATTATATATAAATAGCAGTAACTAGTAAACACTGCTATACATTTCCTGACTGCTAGAGATGTGATACTGATGATTTATCAACATATCTTTTAAGCATATGGTTTGAATGCTGTGAGTGCTGGCAGAATTAGTTAAGTGCTTGAGAGCTGTGTAAGGGAAGGCTGGGAGAATGACCTTGACCAGGATTGCACAATTGAAATCTATGAAGGGCCATTTAAGAAATGTTAAAATTGGTAAGGGCCACACTTCACAAATAATAAACTGAAATCTGTAAGAGTGTAAGCTTAAATGTAGGTACTGCTAACCCCCCTACATAGTTTAATTTAAATATTTCGAAAAAGTTTTCAAGCTTTCCCATTTAATTCAAAATACAGTGAATTAAATAAAAAGTGAAGTAATTTAATATTAAAGTTAGAAATGTATGTATAAATAAAGTATAAAAAATAATTTTGAAAAAAAATATTTTCTGACTTAAACTATAAAAAGGAGAATATATCATTCAATGTGTTGTATTCACCTGCTTCTTGGATACTCAGTCTTCGTAGTTTGTAAATTTGAAAGTTGCTATTTATAAAATGTCACTTAAATGTTCATTGGTAAGGAATGACCTATTTTCATTTTTATTTAAATTCATAATAGAATATGCTTGTTCACAAACATAGGTACTGAGAAAAAGGAAAAGAAAAAAAAAAAAAAAAAAAAATGGTGTGCAGTGTCAATTATATCTGAAAAGTTACTTTTGTCAAGTTTCCTTTACGGTGTTTAAGTAAATTTGAACACTGAAAGTTGATGAGTTTTAATTGAAAAGCAATAGGCACGTCGTTGGGATTGACAGAGTCAATAAGTCTGAAGAACATGTTATCTTCGTCAGAAAGACTAAATCTGGACTGGTACTTTTCCTGAAGCATAGAAATGCTGTTAGCAATTTTTTTTTTTTTTTTTTTCAAAACCATATTTGTTAGTAATTATTTTCTCTTGGAAGGTAGGAAAATGAGCAAAGTTTGAATTAGTCAATTGATTATAAAAAACATTAAGCTCGAGGTAGAAAGATTTCACTGAGTTGTACATCATAAACACTGTGTTATCGTGTCCTTGGAGTGTTTAATTCAGCTTATTAATATGACCTGTAAGATCGGCAAGAAAATATAAATCAGCTTTCCAATCATTGTTTTGAAGCTCTTTAAATGTTTTATGATCTTTGTGAAAATTGTATGATTTTTGGTCCTCTAATGCTACAAAGTGGAACAGCATATTACCACAGCTAAGCTATTTCACTTTAGTGTGATAAATCTATATAATTGGTTCCTATTTCTTCAAGGAGTGCTTGAAAACCTTGATGTTTAAAACCTCTTGCCTTAAGTTAGTTGACTATTTGCGTCACTGTGAGAACAATATGTTGATTTGGCAAAAATTTTTAACACAAGGTTTGTTGGTGTATAAATCACTGATATTTTCTAATCTTGGTTTTACAGTGTTTCTCAATTAAAACAGAGGCTTCATTATGTTTTCCAACCATAGAGGGAGCATCATTTGTACATATACCATTCAGCTTTTCCCATCAGTTGAATCAATAACTTTGTTGTCTATGTCTTCCCTCATTATTCAACCTTTAATTGGCCATAAATTTGCAAGCTCTACAAAAATTTCAAACTTGCCTGTAATGCCTGTAAATTTTTAGGAAAAAAACAGTTTTTGAAATTTTAGGGTTGAAGTTTACTAATTTTTTAGAAAACAAAAGTATGATAATAAAGCAAAAAAATATTGTTTTTATTTAATTATTTCATCAAATTGCAAAACAAAAAGTTTAAAGAAAGTCAAGTAAAAGAAACAAAAACAGTAAATTTATCTTATAAATAATAAAGTACTGTTAAAAATGTATAAAATTAAATGAAAAGTGTAATTTCAATGTTAAAACCACTTACTTAAATTTCATCACACTTCTATGGCATCTATGGTGTAATTATAATATGAAAACATAAATATATATATAAATGTAAATGAAACATAAATGTAATATTTGAGTTAATTTTTTTTACGATCAATAATTTTGAATGGTTATCTGTAATTCTTTGGGTAGCTAATAACAATAATATTATGAATGCATATTAAATTTTTGTAAATTTGTATATGGGTATTAAATTTAT